CCGGTGAACACCATCAGCCCGCACCCGGTCCCGCGGGCGCACCTAACCACGCACGGTGCTGTGCGCCCCGCTGTGGCTTCGCGCCGTCCGCCCGCCGCACCTTGCTGAGTAAGTACCCCCACCCCGCCTGACCAGGGCCCTTCCAGCCCCCAGGCTCGGCCCACCCAGCACCCTAGTCGCATGGTCTGCCTGACCCAGTGGCTTCTGACATGTGGTCCTCGGGGCGCGCCTTACCACCAGTGGCCCGAGCCCTAGGTCATAGGGGCTAAACCTGAGGGAGTATTTGGGGAGCTGGGGATAGCAGGCCAACCTCGAGTCTCTTGCCTTCTCATTTCTCGGACAGCCAGCCATAGGCCGCGAGTCCTGGTTATTCCCAAAGCACGTAAAGAGCCCCCCTCCCAACCCCCGAGCTGGGGCTTTTGTCTCGGCTGCCCCCCACCTTGGGGCGGTGGTGGCGGATGCGCCGGAGCGGGGCCTCGGAGCCGCCGTCTGCACCTGCCGGCGGGTCCCGTGCTTCGGCTTTGCTCGGCTTAACCCAGCTTGCTCCTGCGTGCGCACGGGGGCTCTTTATCCTGTGTGGTTGGGGTGCGGGTAGGGGAGGACGCCGTGTCTGGATGTCTACCCCCGGCTCCAAGCCGGCGTCAGAATCCTTTTAGTAGAATTTCAATAAGAATGGGGCCGCCGCGGGCTGGGGAATCTGCCGCCGGGAGGCGTCGACGGAGGTCTAGGCTTGTCTGGATTCCGGGCACCTAGAATCCTTTCGTGGCGGCCAAGCTCGAACTCTAGGTTGCTCCAACAGCGAGAGGAAAGGTCCAGTGTTCAGGGTCCCCGGGTGTGGTAGCCAATCCTTTCCCGGAAAACACGGAAGGAAATTCGTTGTTTTGGAAAAAGCCACATCTCCCAGGGTCGGGAACATCTGGCAGTGAGCTATGGGTCTACGCAGGCACCTCACGCTGGGATTCGTTTATGAGTAGGTAGGATTCGAGAAACAGGTAGGGCCAGTGGGCTGCCCAGGCGTCTGGAGAGTGTTTCCCAGCCGGGTTGACAAACTGCAAACAAACTGCGTCTAAAGAAATGGATTTACCAGTTGTCATGTGGCCGAGCCACTGGGCTCTTTGAATAAACCGTGGCTGTTCATGGAGGAGACTGGATTGTCTGCCGTCTCAGCAGGGCTCCTAAGGGAGGCTTCCTGTCTTGGAAGTGGGGTTAGAACCTGGTAAGGAGATACAGGATCTCCGAGGCGCTTCTGTCTCACGCGCTGAGACGTCTAGGACTTTGGGCCCCGGTATTTATAATTCAAAGGGACCCAGAAGACGAATGGGATGAGAGAGCCTGCCAGCATGGAGGCCAGAGGATAGAGAGCCTTCATATTTGGGGTGCTGGAAGTGAAGCCTAAAGAACAGGAGGGACTGTTTGAAACTCTGGGAACCCCTCTGGAAGGCTGACTGCGACCTGCGCCGCTCTGAGACTTTGCTTCAGAGGGGACTTCTGAACCTCTCTGGCTAAAGAGGCCCCCACTTCCTCCTCAGTACCCCTCAAGGTATATTGCCAGTGTGGGACTGGAAGGCCCCTATTTTGCAAATTAAATATCCCTATGGAATACAGCCCTAAGCCAAAGGATTTCTTTGACCTACTCCACCCCCCCACCCCACCCCTACACACACACTGCCGGCCAATTAGATGCGCATAGGAATGGGCTGGAATTGGGTTACAAATAGGGCAAACTTCTGATCCTGGAGATGCCACCTCTGATGAACGAAGTTTAAACAAAGGGTATGGAGGAGAGGGCTACGTGGGGCCTGGAAGACCTGGGCAGCGGAGAGCCCAGTCCAGGAGGATGAGGTCCTTTAGAGCTGGGATTTGGATCCCTGCGCCTCTCTAGCGAGAGCACTTCGGTCGCACCAACCCGCATTCCGCTGGAGAACCTCGGGTTGCGTGCGAAAGGCGTCAGAAAATTTAGTTTCGCCGCTGCCCTCTCCCAGTCCTTGAAATCTTGTTCCCATGCAACAACAAAAGGCAGAGGCCTGCATTTGCAACAACTATTGGGAACGAACAAAAAACTGAAAAAGGGACCATGTCCCTCCGAAGGTGCTCGGGAGACCCCCCAAAGTCCGAAGCCATGAACGGAATTAAATCTACTCGCCTCAGACGGAGGTTAGCCCCTCGACTCTCATGTATCCTGGGGGTTTCCCTGACCCTCCCGGGACGTTCGTTTGGGCAGAAATGATGGGATGGTCTCCTCTGCCAGGTGGACGAGGCGCCTGGCTGGTGTCGGTCTGTCTGGCATAGAGATACACTCAGGAGCGGCCCCCTGTCTTTGGTCAGCTGGGCACCCTGCTGCCGGGCTCCCTGCTTTTCTCGCCCAGGCAGGTTCGTTCCTGCGGGAGAACGAAGTCCCGGGTCCAACGCAGGCGCTCCCATCAATGCAGAGGCTTCTGCCAAAGGGGCTGCCTCTCGGCCCTTTCCAGGAAGGCAGCCCAAGGGCCCCAGGAGGCCAGGCGGAGCTCCCCTTCCGCCTTTTTTTTCCTCTAGGCCGGGATTGCGGGAAGGGAGGCTGGTGCGGATCTCCTGAGGCCCCGGCTCAAGCGTTGCTTAACTGCCTTGATAAGCTCCTCTGCGCGGCGATTTTCTGAACCGCCGAGCGGGGTAATTAAATCTTCGCTGGAGCTATGTTCTGCACCAGGCCAGCCGGCAGCGCTGGGCTGCCACTCCGACAGGGCTCCCGGCCAGGCCAATCACCTCCACCTCTGCAGCGGCCAAGACGCTGCCCCAGGGGGGGCTCAGGCTGCCCGGGAGGACCTTGAGGCCGAGCTCGCGGTGATGAAACTGCAGACCCACCTAAACGGGATAATCGCGCCAAACGGTGATGAATCGCGCCTTTGCGACGAAAAGGTGAATTACCTGCTTTTCCGAGCGCTCCGAGCGACCACCTCTTCGAGACGAGGCGTCGATTGCCGCCTTGCAGGGGACTCTGTTCGGCTCTGGCGTTCATGGCCCCGCGGCTGGCCAACGGGCCAGCGGCCTATCACGCTGGGTTCCGGGGTTCGAGCCCGAGCAAGGCAGTCTTACCCGACACCGGCGATTATCATCCCGGCCGCGTTGTCTTTGAGAAGCTCACGCTGGGTTCCGGAGACTTAAACAGGCTCGAGGCTTCGCGGGGATTGCGTTTTACGTGTTGACCAAGAATTGTAAGCTAAAGACAAGGAGAAGAGACAGACTCACGAAGAGACAGCGGGTTCCTGGGACGCCGCGCGGTACTGGGAGTGCGAACCAGAAAGCACGGAGGCTACTCATCTGCCTCGCGCGGCCACCGAGACCCGGTGTCCGCGGCCTCGCTCTCTCGCTCTCAACCCCGGCGCGCCTTACCCCGCGGGCGCTGGCCTCCCTTCCTGCGGAGCAGAGTTCCGAGAAGTCTGGGTCCCGCGCGCGTCCGAGTGGAGCGGAGGGGGAGGCTTAGCGGCCACTCAGGGCAGGCGGCTCCCCAAGGGCCGGAGACACACCAACCAGTTCCCAGCCAGATAGGGCTCTGCGACCCCAGACCCAAGCCTTTACCTGCGCCACAGCGTGTCCGGGCCCGCAACCCAGAGCTGCCCAGAGCTAGCCTGAGAGAAGGTGATGGGGCGCGCCCGTGGATTTGGGCCAGGCCGGGCGCCCCCCGAGCCGAGGGGACCAAAGGCTTTCCTCCCTCTCGGATTATTAAAAAGTTCATTTCCTGGCGAACTGGGTGACGTCAGGGGCCCGGCGTCGCGGTGGCGGGGCCGCCGGGCCGGAGAAGCCGCCTCCAGTTACCCAATTACCGACTGTCAATCCCGCCGCCCCTCCCCCACCCTCTCGGGGGTGGCTGAGACCCCCAATCTTTTTCCCAGCCCCTGACCCACCTGGGATCCCTCAGGGCATCTATCCCAAGAGCCGTGGCCCCAGTGAGAGTAGAGAGGCTGGAGAACGTTGATTACTCCCCATTACCCCCGCACCTGTCTCCCCTAATTTTTTTGTTCCCGACCTTCCTCCTCAGCCATAAGTTCCCTTCGGACCTCAGTCACCTCCGTCTGTACAATGGGAGAGAGCCAGATTTGTGCACCGGGCCCACTCCACACATAGAGCTGGATCTCCGGACTGGAGATGTGTGGGAAGCAGTTCCAGGTGACTTAGGGGACAGAGTTCTCAGACCACCGCCTCCCTCTTCCCAGGGGGCAGCCTTAGGGAACCAAGGGAGGAAAAATAATGCCTCCTCCTGCCCAGAGGCGTCTCCTTCGACCCGGCGCCGGCGCCAGTCCGGGTCTCCACAGCCTCGCCCTAGGCAGTTCGGCCCGTTGGTCTGCGAAGGCCACGCCCGGGAAGGGGACGCCCCCTCCCCTTCTCTGGAGCCATTTGCCAGGCCACCTCCACCCGGTCAACCACAGTCGTAAGCGACCTTGTGTGCGAGATCCAGGTGCCTACTGGGACCCCATAGTTCCTGCTCCTCTATCTACCGTTCCTGCTATCCCGCAGCTGTTCTGCCAACCCGACTCCGCCCAGCCAGCTCCCGAGTTGGGGGAGGGAACGATATGAGTAGGTAGTTGGACTTCGATTGGCCACGTTCAGGAGGTAGGATCCGAGAGAGTGGAAGGGCTGGCGTCCCGAGAACAGACACCCAGAGTATGTGCGGCCCGTGCTCGCGGGGAGAGGGTTTCCCAGTTGAAGGTTAGTTACTGGGAAAGGTCCCAGAAGTTAGGAGGATCCTGTAGTGTCCGCGCGAGAGGCCACAGCTGTTAGCTTTGGGGATGAGGGTGGTAGTGGGGCGTTGGCCACAGGGGCCGCGGGGAGGGCACTGGGAGGGTGCCTGCCAGCTGAGGGGACCTGCGGGCGGAGAGGGCCTGCGGGCGGGTGGGTCACAGAGTCCCGCAGGCCGGAGTTTAGAGCATAGCCAATGGGGGGCGGAGGCTGGCGGTGCGCAGCGCTGATTGGCTGGCGCGGGCTTCTTAGGCGTGCGCGGCCCCCGCTTCATGTCTGTGCAGGAGTCAGGAGCTGGCGCCAGGGAGGCCGGAGGATGCCGAGGGGCCGGAGCCCGGCAGGCCTGAGGCCGAGGAGCGCGCTGCCCCCTGCTCCTACTGCTTGAGCCACACCAACCGCCTGACGCGCTGTCCCTGGGCCCGCCACCCTCAGAGCTCCCGCTGGTGCTGTCCCCTTCTGAGCCTGCGCCCCTCTCCTCGCGGTGCTGCGTGCGTAAGTTTGGGGTGCGAGGGCTGGCCGAGGGCCTGGGGCTCGTCAAGTTCTTAGAGGTCTGAGGGGCGGGGGTGCAAGGCCAGGGCCAGGTTGCGGGTGACTGCTTTGGTGTGTCATGCGGAGAGGTCCTGATTGTGATGCCTGGGAGCGTGCGCGGGGGTCTGGCTCTCTGCCGGTGGGGCTGTGTGTGAGTGTTGGGGGGCGGGTGGGGGGAAGGTCAGTATTTATATCCAGCGCTGAGTGTAGGTGTGCGCTTGTCTCTAGGTTCATGTGCCCCAGTGGGTGCTCAGGAGCCTGTCTCCAACTTTTAGTCTGTTTCTGTGTTTGTATACCGGAAAGGTGTGAGTTTCTGGCTAAAGTACGACTGTGTGTGCGTTTGTTGGGGTAACTGGTGTCGGGTCTCTTCCTCCTGTGTGACCCGGTGTGCACGGGCGTGCGGTTCTGGAACCAGCGGCCACCATGTGAGTATACGAGGCTGAACCCTCTCCCCCGCCTTTCTTTCGTTTTGAGCCTTAAGCTTTCCTCCCACTCTGGGCTGGTCCTCTGGTGAGCTCTGCAGCGGCGTACCGGACACCACGTAAGGGGACTTTGGGAGTGTTGGGCTGTGGTTGCGCCCCTCACGCCCTCTTCGGTCGCGCAGGGCCGCCGCCGCCTCTACCCAGAACCCGAGCCTCCGCCGCGGCCCATGGAGGTGGCACCGGAGCAACCGCGCTGGATGGCGCACCCAGCAGTGCTGAATGCGCAGCACCCCGACTCGCACCACCCGGGCCTGGCGCACAACTATATGGAGCCCGCGCAGCTACTGCCTCCGGACGAGGTCGACGTCTTTTTCAACCATCTTGACTCGCAGGGCAATCCCTACTACGCCAACCCGGCCCACGCGCGGGCTCGCGTCTCCTATAGTCCTGCACACGGTGAGCCCAAGGCAGATGGGTGACTGGGAGCTCTGGCGCCGCGCTCTAGGCGCGGAAGGGGAGGAAGGCCCGGCTGCCTGCTTCCCGGATGTGAGATCCGCAGGAATCGGAGCAGCTGAGAAATCGGGGCGGGAAAGGTGGGGGCAGAGGCCTCTTGGGGAGCGTCCGGGTCCCACAGGGTTTCTGCACATTTCCAGCTGGCCCGTGGGAGTTCTCTCCAGGCCCTGTCCAGTGGGGTTCCTTTTGTGCCACTTGTATTTCAACTGCAAACTGACATTCCTGATGATTGCCTGTTGTTACGTTTCTGGTTTTCTTTAGGGAGGGGGTTACTGCTAGTCGTTTGTGAGTTGTGAATCTTGTGTATCCATGTCCTGGCTGGGCCCAGTCCCTCTGTATCCTAACCCCTCTTTCCCCTCCCGCAGCCCGCCTGACGGGAGGCCAGATGTGCCGTCCACACTTGTTACACAGCCCGGGGTTACCGTGGCTGGATGGGGGTAAAGCAGCCCTCTCCGCAGCTGCAGCACACCACCACAACCCCTGGACCGTGAGCCCCTTCTCCAAGACGCCGCTGCACCCCTCAGCTGCTGGAGGCCCCGGAGGCCCCCTTTCGGTGTACCCAGGGGCTGGGGGCGGGAGCGGGGGTGGCAGTGGGGGCTCTGTGGCCTCCCTCACCCCCACTGCAGCCCACTCTGGCTCCCACCTTTTCGGTTTCCCACCCACGCCGCCGAAGGAAGTGTCTCCTGACCCTAGCACTACCGGGGCTGCCTCTCCAGCCTCCTCTTCCGCAGGGGGTAGTGCTCCCCGGGGGGAGGACAAGGATGGCGTCAAGTACCAGGTGTCGCTGGCAGAGAGCATGAAGCTGGAAAGCGGCAGTCCCCTGCGCCCAGGCCTGGCTGCCATGGGCACCCAGCCTGCCACACATCACCCCATCCCCACCTATCCTTCCTATGTGCCCGCTGCTGCCCACGACTACAGCAGTGGACTCTTCCACCCAGGAGGCTTCCTGGGTGGCCCTGCCTCCAGCTTCACCCCTAAGCAGCGCACCAAGGCACGCTCCTGCTCAGGTAAAAACAGGTGCTAGGGACTTAGAGAAAGTGAGGGTTTATGCTTTGCGGAAGGGCGGGGTGGCAGGGTGGGGGGGGGTGGAGGGAGGAGGTGCTATGATACCGGAGAGGGGGCAGTGTCAGTCTCCCAGGTCTGGGGGATGGGTAATGTCCCTCTCTAAGAGCCCCAACAGATGTCTGAGATGCCAGAGTGGGGGACCCTAAAGCATTTGCCCTTTTCTTAAGTGTTCCTGGTGGCCCCCCAAAGTTCACTTTTTCCTTCCCCACTCCTCACCCCACTTCAAGACTGGCCACTGCCAGACCTGAACACGGAAGATGAATTCCCCCTTTCCCTCCCTGAATCTTAAGTGAAAATTCAGTGTGAGAGAATGTGATATGCAGGTGAGAGCAATGAGGCTATTTGTACGTGTGTGTACGTGCGTTTGTGAGCATGTGTTCATGCTATGGGTACACTCCAGAGACTCCAGACCCTTAAGGAATCTGGTTCTCCAACTCAATTAGTTCAATCTTGGGATTTCGATGGCTCTCGATCTCTTTGGGAGATTTCCCCAAAGCAAAATTCCCAGGACCTGTTCCTGTTCCCCGCCTCCCTCCCTCCTCCTTCTCTGCCACGTCCTTCACTCTCTCTCCTTGAAGGCTGGAGCGAAGGGATGAAGAAGTGTAGCGAAGGGATGAAGTGTAGGTGCCTCTGCTCCTTTGCAGCAGGAGCTGGGGCTAAGTTGGGTTTGTCCAAGAATCTGGCCGTAGAGCAGAAACTGAAGCTAGCTGTGGGGAGGGTCTTGTGTTGATGCCTCCTTCCCAATGCTTTTAAGCTGAGGAAAAAGAAAGAATTTAAAAACTTTTACTCCTGAGTTCAAGACCCACCGTATCAATATAACTAACAATTTAGTTTAAAGTAAATGTGGAAAAATTTCCTGGGTAACATGATGCTAAGGCAGCTACCCTGCTTGATCCCTGATGCTGCCATTTGCACTTACCTTAGTCTTACCTTGGGTCTCTGCGCAGACCAGCTAGCTTGCCTGTAATTAGTCCTTTCTCCCGTTTGTTTTAAGTTCTATTAGAATTCTAGATGGTCTTAAAAACAAAACAAACAAACAAAAACCAAAAAACAAGCCAACAACAGCAAAACAACAAGGTTGCTTAGCCTACTTAGCCTAAAAACGAAAGGACTTATTATTTATTTTAATTTAAAGAACAACGGCTTCGATCCAACTCCCAAACTGAATTGTAGGGCTTCAGTGGAAGCGGGGAGTTGGAGAGAAAGGAGGTTACCCTGGACTGAGAGTAGAAAGACAGCGTAAGGGCTGAGGACATAGACTTGGAGCAGAGATTCGGGAGCAGAGACGTGGCGGATACGGGTGGGGACAAAAGAGAAGAAGCAGAACTAGAAATGGGGCTGGAGTCCTCCTGGGCCCAGCTAGGTCGAACTGGGGGAGGGGGTGGGCTCTGCCACAGACCCTCTATTGGCAAAATACCCACTCCCTGTCGCTCATTTGAAGAACCCCTGGGGCCCTGGCGGCACTCCTCCCTCCTGCCCTGTTTTCCTTTCTTTCAAAGAGGATTTTGAACAGGGAGATTTAGCCTTAAACTACTCTTTGAAGCCCATTCCTATGGGGTAGATTTCTTGGGTCCCTCTTCTGGCCCAGGCTGGGACTAAAAGTCACCTCCCCCACCCCAAAGCAATCTGGCCCAGGTGACTGCTGCCTGATCGGCGCCTACCCGCACGCCCCTGACTCCCTCTCGTGATATTGTCAGTTAAGCAGACCTGGTATCTTTCCCTGTTTCCTTTCAGAAGGCCGGGAGTGTGTCAACTGTGGGGCTACAGCCACCCCTCTCTGGCGGCGAGATGGCACTGGCCACTACCTGTGCAATGCCTGCGGGCTCTACCACAAGATGAATGGGCAGAACAGGCCGCTCATCAAGCCCAAGCGGAGACTGGTAGGTAGCGGGCGCACCACAGGTCAGCAGGTGCCTGGGGAGAAGGCTGCAATGCTGCACCCAGGGGACACTAACCTGGGCGGGAGCCAACGGTTAATTAAAAAAACAATAACAACAGAGCCCTTCAAATGCAGATACTTTGCCACTTGGAATCCTCTTTTATCATTAAAATCACTCTGATGTCACTTGGGATCGCCCTTCTTTCAGGCCAGATTTTTTTGGGTGCCAGATTTCGTCCTCCGCAGTCCATTCAGGACCCTCACTCCAGCCCACTCAAGATACCAAAAGTTGAGTGTCCAAGGGCCAGCTCCCGTGCCCTGGCCTCTGTTTAACTCTTTTTAAAAATAGGGCCATGAAGTAATTTTCCTTGTGGCTTAGGGCAGCTCTCTCTCTTCCCAACACAAAATCTCCTCATGCCTATTTAAATAAAACACTCACACCAACCACCAAAAAAACCTACCCTTTATTATTTTTCCATGGAGTCACCTATACTGTGTATTTTCATTTGAGTGATTTTTTTAAAAATGCCCTTTCGGATCTCCTGCCGGAGTTTCCTATCCGGACATCTGCAGCCTGAAGATAAGGAAACTTCGCGTATCTGTTTCCGGACTCCGAGAGTTTTTAGAGTCTCTCCTCGGCTCAGTCCTGCCTCTCGCTGGGCTGTTTTGAAATTTCTAATACCCTCCACTCTGCAAATAATGTATAAAATGCTAAGAATAATAAATATATTTTTTCAGGGCAAAGTGATTTACGAGGCTTAAATTGCTCGCCTCTTTGGGGGCCCCCGTTTTTTTTTCCCCTGCAGCGAGGGCGGGGTGAGGGCCTGGGTAGGGGTAGGAGGTGGAGGCTATGGTTTGGCCCCTGAGTCAGAATTCCAGCTTTGGGCTGCTTACTCACCCTCAACCCTCCCCGCCCTGAGGCTGCAGTCCGAGGCCCCTCACAACCCAGCTCTGGCCTGGGGCCATTCCAGCCTCTGAAAGCCTCAGCCCCCAACCCCCACCCCTGCTGCCTGTGGTTCTCTGGAAAGTGTTGGAGGAACTTGTTCTGTGACTGGGGCTGGCGCTGGTTGACCAGGAAGAAGGGATCAGCTTTTTTGGGTGAACTCTCTTGCCTTCTTTTACAAGCCTTCCACTGCTTTCTCCAGGAACCAGATACTCATTTTCAGACCATGTCTGTCCTGCATTCCTTGAGGGGCTGGGGGCAGGGAGTTAGAATTCTGAGGTTTGAGGTACAAAGGGCCGAACAGAGAGACCAGCATTGTCCAATTATGGACAATTATGGAAATGTTAGAGATCTGCACAGTCTACTGTGGTAACCTCCAGCCTACGTTGTGACTATTGATTCCTTGAAATGTGGCCAAGGCAACTGAAGAAACGTGATTTCTACTTTTATTAAGTTGTAGTTAAGTTTAATTTAAGTAGCCACATGTGGCTAGTGGCTACCATGTTGGACAGCGCAGCTTGTGTGAGACTCCCTAAACAGCTTATATCCCCATCCTGGGCAATAGGTCCCCATGCCCTTGGTCTCAAGCAGGACACTGACATGCCCAAGATTGTGGATTTTGAGGGGAGTCATGTGGGAGGAGACAGAGAAGCAAGCTCCAGACCTAGGGGTTCCAGGGGACCAAACCAGCCTTTTAAACTAAAGAGCTCTTCTCAGGGCCTCAATTTCCCTATCTATAGAGTTAGATTATTTGGTGATTGAGAGAGGTGGCTGATTTTCCTTCCAGCTCTCAAAACCCCGTTGATTGTGAGATCAGCCTTCTGAGAGTAATTCTAAATGTCCGCAACTCTGAGATGCCTTGATTCCCCTGTGAGATTTACAGCTTCTTGGCTAATTTGGCGGGGCCAGGGTGGGAGCATGGTGGGTGTGTGGCAGGGGTTGGGGAGGCTGGTCGAGGTTGGGCATAAGGTTCCAGCTTGCTAATGTTGCTTTCCCCTTCCAAGTCTGCTGCCAGGAGAGCAGGCACCTGTTGTGCAAATTGTCAGACAACCACCACCACCTTATGGCGCCGAAACGCCAATGGAGACCCTGTCTGCAACGCCTGTGGCCTTTACTACAAGCTGCACAATGTGAGTCCGCCCTGTTCCACCTGCCCCACCCCTCCCCAGGGACCGCTGTTCTTTGTGCTGCCAGGCAAGAGGCCCCAGCCACACTCTCCAGCTTGGCTTGGCTTGGGAAAGCCCTGAGCGCTGGAAGGGCTCCCATTAGAGAGGGTAAGCTGGCTGGAGGTGTGTCCCCCACAGCAGGACCCAACAGGTATTTCTGTTTAAAACAAAAATGAGAGAGTGGATTTCGGTGGTGTTGATCAGGGGTGATGCTGGCATTTAGTGGGCTCAGTGCCCTGCAGGGTAGAGGTCAGCTCCACATAGTGATATGCGCCCTTCTGAAACCACTGCAGTGCTGGTGACAGGATTACTGTAGGCATTTGGAGATGGGGCCCCAGCCCGGACCTGCCTCTGCTATAATCCAAAGTACAGGGTGGAGGGTCTTGCTCAGGGAAGGGAACTTGACCCCCTGAAGGCTCTGTGTTGCCCCCCAGGTGAACAGGCCGCTGACCATGAAGAAGGAAGGGATCCAAACTCGGAACCGGAAGATGTCTAACAAATCCAAGAAGAACAAAAAGGGGACAGAATGCTTCGAGGAGCTGTCCAAGTGTATGCAGGAGAAGGCCTCACCCTTTAGCGCTGCTGCCCTGGCTGGACACATGGCACCTGTAAGCCACCTCCCACCCTTCAGCCACTCCGGACACATCTTGCCTACCCCAACACCCATCCACCCCTCCTCCAGCCTCTCCTTTGGCCATCCCCATCCATCCAGCATGGTGACCGCCATGGGCTAAGGACAGCCGCACACGAAGGGACAGATGGATTCAGAGGAGGGCAGCCTGCAGCTCGAGGCTGGGTGCTCCCAGGACAAGTGGACCAAAACTTTAGTGGTCCACTCCTCAAAGACTGATTCCTCTCCTACCAGCCCTGCCTGAGCCTATGCTGCCTCACCTGTGGGCACTCTGCTCAGCAGTCACCAGTCACTAAAGATTCTCACTGGGGCTGAGAGGTGGCTTCAACCCAGCTGCTACTCAGATGGGGTTTCTATCACCGGCAATTGTTTGGAGAACAGAAAGGACAACTTTATGAAGAGAGAAGGAGAGGACAGGGGACAAACGAAGGAAACCACTTTCAGGAGGAAAAGAGAGTAGGCAAAAATAATTTATTTTGCTCTTATTTTTAACAAGTACTGGGAGATTTGGGAGGTCTGAGCTCCCCAGGCTCCCTCGGCTTTCCTCAGCGCCAAGTGCTGCTCAGCCTGTCCACTTGCCAGGATTCTGAGGACAGGTGTGCGAGGGAACTTCAGCACACACCTTGTCCTCGGGCTTCCCTTTCTGAAATGCTGAGCCCCAGGCTGGACCGAGCCAATTTAGAGGGCTTATTGCCCACTGGGAGGCTGAGCCAGTGCATGCCCTGCTGGTGGGCCCTGGAGGGCAGAGACAATCACTGGCGGTCTGGCGCAGATTCCCAGGCCAGGGCTGGGTCACAGGAAGGAAACAACATTTTCTTGAGAGGGGAAATGTCTCCCAGCTGGCTCTCCTGACTCTCAGGCTGAAGCTGGTGTGACCTGTGTCCCCTTACTGGCAGAGCCATAGCCTGCCTTCTGGGCCAGGTGGACCCCTGTACATACACATCCTTTTTCTGCTAACTCCTCAATCCCCTCTTCTCATACTATGAGACAAAAGAAAAAAAAAAAAAACCTGCATAAGCTTAACTCGTGGATGAGTTAGTTGTTTTATTTTTAAACTCTTTTTGGGTCCAGTCAATTGTACTTTGCTATGGAAGCCCTTACTATGGAGAGGAATAAAACCTACAAACCAAGGCTGTAGCTTTGCAGTTATTTTTGGAAAAGTTCTTAGATACCACAGCCCTAGAATGGGGAGCTGGGGGCCAAGGGGTGGGGCCTTGACTGCTCTTGGCTTCTGGGGGCTGGTCTGGCAGATGGCAAAGCCAGGAGTTGGGGTGGGTCAGAGCCAAGACTGAGAGACCACGACCCTCCTGGGGTCTTGGGAGACCTGCATTCTGCTCTGCTTTGCTGTGGCTAGCTGGATCCTTCCCAAGGTACAGCTGTACATAACCATGTCTGAGCTTAGATTCTGTATGTAGCGGTGGCGGGATGTGATGGCCAGTGGGGGCCGGGCCCAGGAAGAGGATTGTGCTGATGTAGTCGACCAAGTGCAATATAGGCAGCTGATCGCTGCAGGGGCACCACCACCATAAGTAACTTATTTTGTACTAGCATCCACATTAAGAAGAATCGGCAGTATTTTTTGTTTTTATGTTTTATTTGGCTTGTTTTATTTTGGATTAGTGAACTAAGTTATTGTTAATTATGTACAACATTTATATATTGTCTGTAAAAATTGTATGCTATCCTCCTATTCCATTAAAGTGAATACTGTTAAGAATAATAAAATACTTTTTGTGAATGCCTCTGTCCTGTCTTGTGGACTCCTGGGGCAGCTGAGTCCCAGGTGCAGAGATTAGCAGTCAAACTGAACTGCTCCTATAGCCCAGTGATTTGGAGGGAAGGGCTCCTGAAATAGGGGTTGGAGTTCTGTCTGCTGGGACTTGAGATCCTGACACACTGAATTACTTCCATCTGAATTTCCTCATTATTATTTAAGTGGGAGTCCTGGTGGCTTAGTGGATATTGGAGAGGCCGAAGGAGGCTGTGGCTTCTCTAGCCTTTGGTCCACATGCTGATCCTTTTCCCGAGGGCTCAATTGGTGCTCTTGCAGAACCCAGCAAGAACTGACCCCACGTCCACTTCTCAGGTGCTGATCAGCTCTTGTTTTTTGAGCTATCTGGTCACCAAAATTCCCATTCATTGACAAACCTGACTACCAATGTCTTTGATCACTGATATCCTTGGTTGATGTCCTCTTTAATCAATGATGTTGGTCATTAGAGATAGCCGCCATGACTGATATTCAACATGTCTGATCACCAGAGCTTGTGATCATAGACATCTGATTACTAACAACTGGTTACCAGTACTTAATGATCAATATTTCATCAATGCCTCTGATGGATGTTGTTTCTAATTACTTACATCCACAAAAATGTGATCACCAGTGTCTCCAAAGACTGTCCTTTCTCACCAGTAATAAACATGATCATGAATATCTCATCACCAACGTTTTTGATCAGTATATCTGTTCACCAATATTTTTATTCAATGTGTCTGGTTGCCAATATCTCTGGTGACCACCATATGTTTCCCCAATATTTCTATTCACCATGTCTGTAATCACCAGTCTCTCTTACCCAAGTTCCCGATTACCATTGTATTGATGACCAATGCATTCTGTCACTAATGTCCTAGTTCATTAAGAAATACGATCACCACTGTCATCGATCAATGTTTTTCTAACCGGTAGGCAGATCACATCACTCATATGTGATCTCCAACATCTCCAGTCATGCTATTTCTCATCACCAATGACTCCTTAATGATGTGTTTGGTCACTTGTCTCCAATCACCAACATTGCTAACCAACAATCATAGAATCCTCTTACAATCAAATTTTCAGACTATCAATGTGCTTAGTAGTGACTTTGGTTACCAATACCCCTGACTGGGACTCTGACTCAGGATACTAATGCTCTAGTGTACCACCACTATCCTACCCATGTCCTTTCCCTGTGGAACAGAAACCTAGAGCAAATAGGAACCAACCTGGGTGCAGATCTGGGTGAGTGCTTGCCTGCCCATCTGAACACCCGGACCTTTTCAGGCTTCCTAGCAGCTCCCCTTCTGGCCCTTCCCCAGCTCACAGCATTTTGGTCTCCCTCCTTTCCACAGTGAGGGCAGGGATGGTCTTGTTCTCCTGTGTCCTAGCTCAGAATGCAGGATTCTGTGTCTCTATGATCATGCATTCAAGTTTGCACCATACTCTTGTCTGTTGAATACCTCCTGCACATCGTGCTGTTCTACGTGTGGGGGCTACCCCAGTGAATAAAACAAACTCCTGCCCTGGAGGTGCTTGCATTCCAGGCAAGAATCACTCTGCCTGACCTCTGGCAAAATGTCCTACTTGCCTGGCCCCAAATTCAAAACCCAGAGCCGGAATATGAAGTCCAGAGCTGAGAGTCTACAATCTGCACCTCTGAATTCGGAAACCAGAACCCAAAGCAGAGCATAAAACACAAACCCCCAAGTTCAGAACTTAGATCTTGCAGCTCAGAATCCAGAACTTGCATATAAGAACTATGAAACTGGGTCCCAGAACCTGTCCCTCAGAATCCAGATTTCAGAACATAGGAGTCCAGAACTGAAAGTCCTGAGGATAGGCTTTCAAATCCTAGGTCTTGGAGCTCAGGACCCGTAACTTAGCACCAAGGACATGGAGCCTAGGGGCTAGAGTGAGGCTCAGGATCTGGTAGCCGGAATCCAGAGTCCAGAGCAAGCCCTGAGAGAAACCTCCTCTGTTTCTCTATTACTCTCCAGTCTTATTGCCTTCCCTCTGCCAACCAATATTTTTGGAGCACCCAGTGCCAGGCAGCTAGCAGGAAACAAGCAGAAGAGTGGCTCTCCTCTCCCTGCAGTGTCAGGTTCAAGAAAGCAAGGACTGCATCTGCCTTGTCATTCATGCGTCCCATTGCCTCTTGGGTGCTTGTGGTAGGTGCTTCCCAAATGCCTGTTGAATAGATTCATTCATCCCACAAATGTTTATTGACTTCATTTGTTCTCGGTGTTCAGGTGGGGGATGAAACACACAAAGATCTTGCTCTGGTGAATCCGCTCTCTCTGGCACCCAGGAAATTCTTGGAGGACAGGGGCTGTTTCCGGGGAAGGCTGTGGTGGGGGTGGGAAGATGGTGTTGAGGCGGGATGAGTGACCTCCAGGAGCAAGGGAAGCATGCTGGCTCTTATGGGTTCCAGGTTCAAACTCACTTTAGAGCAGCAGAACCAGGCTCAGGGGCTTCTGCTCCTGCAGCTTCTGTTTCCTCCTCCGTAAAATAATTAGCTCCTAACAATGACTCTGACTGCCCAGAGTCATTGTGCGAATAAACAGTTTCGATTTTGTGGCCTCAAAGCTCTAAGGCAGGGCAGGGCAGGGCAGGCAGGCCAAGGGCTGCAATGGTGCCTTTATAATTTCTTGGAGCCTGGTGCTAGGGCACCTGGGGTGGGTTGGCCTTTGTTTCATATGTTTGCACCTAGGTTGCGCTGGCCTGCCCAAGGCCTCTTCCCCCTTCCTCCTACCAGGACATACCTAGGCCCCACTTCTTATTCCTATTTTCTGTAGAAGAAACCAAGCCCCCTTTGTAATTCTTAGAGACCAGCTCATCTTTTTCCAAAAATTCCAGCTGCCTTATTAACTCACCACGAGGATTAAGACAGAGGAACAATCTTCCCCTTCTTTGGAGCCACAGAATGGACACTGTCCCAGGGGAATAGGGTTTGGGAGGCAGACTTGCCATCCACCTGATGGAAGGGAAGGACAAAGGACAAACTCACCTGAGAGGTGGGAAAGAAAACAAACAACAGGAGCCGCTCCCAAAGTTGGTGGGCTTTCCTACCTGAGGGAGATTAGTAGTCCAGAGGGGTGTTTGTTTGTATGTTTCTTTTTAGGAAAAGTGATAAAATGACTCCAAACTGTACCTGAAAAAACTAACAAGACCAAGTCAGAAAATTAGGAAACATAAAGCAGTGTGTGTGTGTGTGTGTGTGTGTGTGTGTGTGTGTGTGTGTGTGTAAAACATTAAACAAGATTCTATTATAAAATCATTCAAACCTTGAGTTTGAACAAGATTCTATTATAAAATCATTCAAACCTTGAGTTTTTGCTGTAAGAATCAGCAGATCAATGGCACAGACTTGGGTAAGCCTGAAGCAGACACTATTATTTATAAGTTAATGGATGATAAAGGAGATATCCTGAGTTAATGCAAGGGCGGAGGATTATTCAATCAAGTGGAATTGAACAACTAGCAGGTTAGCATGTCTGGGTGAACACCTACTCAGATGTCTAAAACTTGCCTTATCCAGTCAGCAGAAGACTTTTGTTTGTGTTGCATGATGTTTTGCAAAAATATGAATGAGTTGCAAATGATCTTAAATTAAGAGATTCATTTAAAGACAGGCAGAAGCTCTGGGCCCAGAGGTAGCATTTCTGCCTTCATCTCCACCTGGCCCCTCATGTCCATGCCTGCTGGGTCTCAGGGACACTGAATTTGAGTCCTGACATCATCACACATAACCTATTACATAGTCAAGGTTTATTAAGGATTTAGTCTTGAAAGCAAGAACCAACCTACAAATGAGTTGATAGAGGGGCACTGCAAAACTCAAGGTTAAGCTCAGCCTTTCTAGGAACAAAAGAGGAAAAAGGAAAACTATTGAATATACAAGAAGTAAAAGCTTTTGCAGTGAAGAGGGAGTGGTAGGATAATTTGGGGGTAGTGCTTTTGAAATGAGCTCTGAGATAATAATTCCATTTCCAAGACTTGAATGTTGAGTAACCATCTAAATATTTTTGCAAGAAGCTACTACACAAAGATGTTCAAGACATCATTATTTATGTCTTGTAACCAAGAGATTAGTTACAATCTAAATGCTCAAAAAAGGACATAAGAGTATAGTCCAAAATAATTGAAATCAGGGATCTGAAGAGATATTTGTACACCCATGTTCATAGCAGCATTATTCACTTTAGCCCAAAGGTGGAAACAATCCAAGTGTTCATCCATGGATGGATGGATAAGCAAAACGTGGTCTATTCCTGCAATGGAACCCTAGAAGGAAGCAAATTCTGACACATGCTACAACATAGATGAACCTTGAGGACATTCTGCTAAGTGAAATAAGTCAGTCACGATAGGACAAATACTCTATGGTTCCATTTATATGACATTCCTAGAGGAGTCAAATTCATAGAGACAGAAAGTATAATGGTGTGTGGCAGGGGCTGGGGCAAGGAGAATGGAGAATTAGTGTTTAATGGGTACAAAGTTTCAGTTTTGCAAGGCAAAAACTTTCTGGAGATGGGTGGTGATGATTGCAGGACATTAATGCACATAGTGCCACTGAACTGGATACCAGCTGCAATGGTTGAGATAGTCAAGTCTATGTTATGTGTATTTGTCACAATAAAAAAGAAAGGGAGGTAAGGGGACTATAAGACACCCACTAGAAAGCTTTTAAAATCTCTCCTGAAGATTATACTCCTATAGAGCCAAGTCATGGACTGGAAATGTGTAACACAATGGTGACAGTAATTATAGCATCTAAGAGGAAAGAATTTTCACCAAATGTTAATAAATGGCAACATCTATGTGATAGATACGTTTTCTTTCTTCTCCCTGTTTTCCAAATATTCTGTAATGAGGTTTAATAGCTTTAATGATAAAAATATTTTAAAATGATTATTGCAGATTGGGAGATAATTTTGCAACACATGCAAAAAATCAA